ATATATATATATATATATATATATATATATATATATATATATATATATATATATATATATATATATATATATTTTCAGTAGCTCAATAACGACAATTTTAAAGACATGTGTGATAGTGTAACAATCCATGTCCATGAGCACGTTTTGTCTCCACTCACATGCACTTTCGATTTTATTAAGCATTTCTTAGCTGTTCTATACTCGAGATCCCTCTCGTTCAGATTTGATATCGATTCATTCATGTATTTCTCTTTTATTCAGTTGTCGCAGTTAGGCATAAAAAAATCTTATATTGGATAATCTCAAAATATGTTAAAATTATCTGATTCAAATGAGTAACCTGATCGTGTAAAAAATAATAAATATATGGTAAGTCAATCATTTATTTTTAAGAGAAATTAGAGAATAAATAAGGAAAAAATAACTATAAAATAAATTTTCAATACCTAAAAATTAACAATTTAGTTTATAATTTTAATAACATTTTTCGTTTATTACAAATTTTAAAAATAAAAAATTAAATTATTTATTTATAAATATTACTCAACTTATTTCTAATTTTTTTAAATTTATTAAGAATATTTTTATAAAAAAAAAAATAGTTTTAAAGGCTAAATTAATAAAAATATCTTTTAAACTAAAAAAAATATTGTTACGATTGTTTTTAGATCTTAAACTTTAAAAGGTTGATTAATATCTCTAAATTAAAAAAAAATTAAAATACATTTACCTGTATCTTTATATAAATATTTATAAATATAAATTTTAAGAGTAGTCCGGACACTTTTATCTTTATATATATATATATATATAATTGTCTATCGACACTTTACAGATTATTTATTAATATTTTAATATTATTTTGAAAAGATTTTTTTTTTGTAGTTATTAATTACACGATATTTTTTTTCAATATTTTTAAAATAAAATATTAATGATCTCCGAGCTTTTTTTAATTTAAAGATATTATTGAATTTTTAAAAAGTTTTATGGATATATTTTTTAAGATAAAATTATAAAATAGTTAAAAAGAAAAAATGAATTGTTAAGGAAATTTGAAAGGCAAAGACGGAGTCACTGAAGTTTGGTTGTTCGCTGCAATTGTTGGAAGCAAGTTTTATTTTGGTTCAGGTCAGAGCTTCCATACATAACATGACATACATACATGACATACATGCATATATATATATATATACATACATACATACATACATACATACATACATATCTCCTTCCCTTCTAAACCCCTTTCCCTTTCTGATTCTTCTTCCATGTTTCTCCCCTTTCTTGCTTCTTCTTCTTCCTCTTCCTCTTCTTCGTTCTCCACTGATCTCCCTTTTCCTCATCCACTTCACTGATCTCCTTCATTCTACTTCCAACTTCCCAATTGCGCTCAACGGACCAGGGTTTCTTTTGTTCTTTCCTGCTCTGCTGCAATTCGCGTCACTTCCGTTCTTCTTCCAGGTATGTGGTTTTTTCGTTTTTTCCGGCTCCGCTTCTACTTTTTTTCTTTTTCCAATTCGGACTTAGGGCTTTGATTTCGTACGATGATCAATACACCTTTTTCGCCTTGATTTTTCTCTTGTTTCTTTGAGGGGTTTAGTGATTTTAGTTGCTTTGATCTCTAGGGTTTTGGTTTGGGGAATATAGATCTGAGTTTGCATTCTAATGCTTCTTGGCTCTGTTCTTGATGCCGAATTCTTCCTTTCAAATTTAATGTTGCTCAGTCATTGCTGGGATTATGATTTCAGGCTGCTATAAATAAACCTACCCTTTATGCTTCGTGCACGTACTGTTCCTCCCCTACCCCCTCCCCACTCAAATGGTGTGGCCTCTGAGACTTGATTTGTTCTGAATGACGTGGAAGTATAAATTCTGGGGGGTTTTTGTATTGGTACAGTACCGCAATTCAGCTTCAATTTGAGTGACTGGGGTTTGGAGCTGCTACAGTTTACAGTGTATGAACCGCCCTCTGGAGAAATGCAACCTCAGCACAGCTCCAGAATTGATTTAGGCGACTTGAAAGCTCAGATAGTTAAGAAACTTGGAAATGACAAGTCAAAGCGGTACTTCTTCTACTTGAGCAGATTTCTGGGTCAGAAACTGAGCAAGTTTGAGTTTGATAAGATGTGCGTCCGTGTGCTTGGAAGGGAGAATATTCAGCTCCACAATAAATTGATAAGGTCAATTTTGAAGAATGCATGTGTAGCCAAGACCCCACCACCAATAAATGGGTCAGGACATGCACAGTCTATGCTACAAGCTTCAAACAACTCACCTTGCAGGGAAGATGGCCCTGAACATAATGGATCTACTTTTCCGAATCAGAATCAGAATCAGGCTATGCCAATTTGGCCAAATGGAGTTCTTCCAGTTTCCCCACGGAAAGGGAGATCTGTCTTACGTGGAAAGTTTAGGGATAGGCCGAGTCCGCTTGGTCCGAATGGAAAAATAACATGTCTTTCGTATCAATCATCTGGTACTGAAGATAGCAGCAGCAAAGTTATTACAGAGAATGGTAACGTAAACATGTGTGACTATCAGAGACCGGTACAGCATCTTGAAGCAGTAGCTGAGCTACCTGAGAATGACATAGACGGAGCAGTTCTGCGGCCATCAGAAAAACCAAGAATACATCCAACAGAAGCAGCTGTTCTTGAAGATAGAGACGAGGTGGAACAGTCAGATCCCTTAAGCATCCTCAGAGGTCCTCTACTTCCACCTCTTGGTTTTCCCTTTTGCTCAGCTAGTGTAGGTGGGGCACGCAAGGCCTTGCCAGTTGGTAGTAGTGGCAGTGGCCGTGATTTTCTGAGTTGTTACGACAGTATTGGATTGTCTGATTCAGAGACGGTGAGAAAACGAATGGAGCAAATCGCAACTGCTCAAGGGCTTGAAGGTGTTTCTATAGAATGTCCCAACATCTTGAATAACACTCTGGATGTGTACCTGAAGCAATTGATCAAGTCTTGCCTTGAGTTGGTGAGATCAAGGTCTACAATTGAACATACAGGGCACCCTATCCAGAAGCAACAGAATCAAGGGAAGGTTATAAATGGTATGCGGCCCAGCAACCACCAACACGTACAGAATAGCAACGGGCGGTCTGAAGTTTTGCAGGAAAAGAGTTTAGAATGCTCAGCGTCATTGCTCGATTTCAAAGTTGCTATGGAGATCAATCCAAAGCAGCTTGGGGAAGATTGGCCTTTGATGTTGGAGAAAATTTCTATGCGTGCCTTTGAGAAATAAGCAGTTGCAAAGGCTTTATTTATCCTCAGCCATCCTTTTGGCTGGTCTTGTTCAGGTCCAAAGGACTTTAAATTTTACCTGGGATGTCTTCCTGTTCAGCCCTTCTTGCTGGGGTATACTTGATCACACTCCCATTGGGTTCAGGCTCCAAGATTCCATGCTAAAAATATTGTAACAACCCGGGGAACCTCCGACCGCACATGAGTCCCTTGCCCATTGCCTGCTCCATTTAGGAAGTTGAATTAACTCGACTAGAAAAGGGGAAGCTTTCAGCCAGAATGCCCATAAAAAAGGTTGTTCTGTTGCATTTTTAGCATTCATGTTAGCCCCATTTGCCACTACCTTGTAACTTAGCCTTTTCATGTAACTTATTTTTGAGAGAATCAGAAAAGTTTTGCAGGGATACTGTCAATTAGTTTGGTGAAAGATGGAACACCTGGGTGAGAGCTTCAGGTGCTGTATGTATTTTAGAATCTGAGAATTTATTGGGATTTCAATATCAATAACAAATTAACATCCATTTCAATGCGTTGTGTAGATTGGTCTCATCTTCAACTATATGATTATTCAATATATAATCATGTTTTGTCTTCTAACTTAAACTAGCTATATTCTAAATCGATCTGCCCCTTTAGATAAATGTGAATGTATATGTGGGAGAAGTTCAAGTCTCAGGAGCAGCACAGCCTGATTTCGAGGTCTCTGCAACTGGATATCCCGCTTGCTACCGAACAAATCAACGTTCTACAAATGCCACGATGAATTGGATGGGGACAATTCTCATTAAAAGGTAACGTCATGATTGAACTTTGTAGTAGACAAAAGTACGGGACCATTTTAACTCGAAAAGCACCTGTTCTTCCGAGAAATAGAAATTAGCTCCACCTGATTTTGTGGTTTTCTGTTGTTTTATCGCAAGTGCTTTGGCTGATCATAATTGATTAGTGTTCTTCTGAGAGGTTGCCTCACAATTTTCTTATGATATTGCTTGTGCTTGTTGTCAGTAATGTATATTCTTCAATTTTAGCTGAACGTGTGTTCATATTATTTTGAAGTAACTATTGCCGAGTACTATAAACTTCTTGAGTCTGTGTCATTGGAAAAAAGAACTTCAGAGTTTGTAATGCACAAGGGAAGGAATCATTGAAGCAATCACGGTGACGTGGCGAAGTTCATATCTCATCGACACGGTATCTTTCCTTCTTTACTTATATCATGTTAATGGCACAAGCTATTCACTAGGGATAGTTGAAAATTAAGATAACATGTCTGCTAAGAGATGATTCACTTTGTTATCAATTGAGAAGTATTCTATTTCTGTCCATACTTTCAAAAATACGTTACGTACTTTTATGATGTCGATTAAGATACAAGAAAAGACTTCTGATTGAGGAAGAAAAGACTTTCGAGGAGATGATTCTCTCGTTTAAATTATATGTTCTTAAATCTAATTTCTATTTCCCTGTCAAATGAACCTTGTAACAACTCAAGCCCACCGCTAGCATATATTATTCTCTTTGGAATTTCCCTTTCGGGCTTCTCCTCAAGGTTTTTAAAACGCATATGCTAGGGAGAAGTTTTTACACCCTTATAAAGAATACTTTGTTCTCCTTCCCAACCGATGTGGGATCTCACAATCCTAGATCAGGTATAATCCGTTGAAAACTTGTGTTCTCTAGGCGCAGAGAACTGCAGTCTTTGTTCCTTGCTGTACATACCTACAGTGGCATGCTTATTTTAAAGGTAATCAGAATTCTTTGAAAATTTTGATATTGTCCAGCTATGCTATCCTAGTTTTTGTTTTATCTTGTTTCTTGATTCCCATTTATATGTTGTGTTCGCTTTTGGTGTTCAGGATGATCATGTTGCTCTATGCAGCAAATTCTGGTTTCATTTCACTCACTCAGCTATGTCTATGCTTTCTGCATCATGTAAGTCAATTTTGATGTTAATTTGTCTTGCTTTGTTTGTGGGATGAAGGAAGCATTTTGATAGCTCAAAGGAAGGAAAAGAAGTTACTGTAAGCAAATCTAATGGTTTGATTGACTCGTATCGACGTAGACTTTGATGCTTTAATGAGATATTCAAATGATGGAGAAGTCGCTCTTTTTAAGATTGTCTCAAACGATCGTCTGAAAGTGACAAAAGAAACAGCTTATTCTTTCTTCGATAATTTCTGATCTTTAGTGAACCTCTCAATAGGATTTGAACTCGAAGTTCTGACCATCTATAAGAGAAAAAAGAACGAATAGATCTAGTAGGATTTTTGAGAAATTTTTTGAGTTCTTTCGGAAGTGGATGATTATTGAACTGCTTCTCACATTTTGTAAATAGCCGGAACATTGAGGTGTAGGGATTTATACTTTGACTAGTCAAAGCTATATTGAAGCCCCCATATTCTTGTTCATCGTTTTATTCGTTTTTCAAATTGTGGCTAAGCCAATTGGGGAGAGTAAAATGGATTGGATTGAATTGACAGGAGCCTTGGTAATGAACTTGTTCGGATGGCTTCACTCTTGTCTATGAAGACCTTACATGCAGTCTCTTATACTCCCATAAAGGGAAGTGTTGAACTCAGCGCAGTCTTAAGCTAATGTCTAATCGTTGATTCCCATATGTGCTCTTCTTTGCTATGATTTTCTAACCCTGAAGTTTGTCCCTTTATTGTATTCAAATTGGAATAATCTTTAAATGATTTCTATAGGTCGAACTAATTTATCAAACTAATTTAAATGAATAATACAAGCACAGAGACCTATTATCAAACGCATTGAAACAAGTCGAGCTTCAACTTCAGAGACCCTTTTATCAAAAGCATCAACCTATGGACAATTTTGATTCACAATTCAATTGAGAGTAAAGATAAAACTGATTGAGTTTGTTGGTCAATTGGGATGAAACAAATCTATTCTGTACAAACAAACATGAAGTTGCAGACAGAGAGTTGTAAATTTGAAGAAAGTGGGCACACTATCTGTCTGCAGTTATCTATATATCATTTGAAAGGGTGAAGCTGCTGGCTGGCTGCTGATGCTTTACAAATAGGACACCAGTTCTTCAACCTCAACCATTGTTGAATACAAGCTACGTGATACTTATGCTCACATTGCAGTCTCCCGACTTCATCTCCTATCAAATATTCTTCCTGCAAAGAGTTTTTGACAAAATATTTAAAGCTATAATTGGCAAACCAAGAAATTTATCCTAGTTCTGTTAGAGGTATCAATCATCCTGCAAAAAGTTGGAAGAGATCACTTTCTTGGTATGTTACGTGATTAATAATCTCGTCCACTCGCCCATATCTGTAGATTACAATATAAGTGAAACTCAATGACCTCAAGAACAAGGTGATTGTCCAGGCTAAGATCAAAGGAAATAGGCAACAGAGAGCTATAATTTGAATTTCTTAGGCCTTTCTTCGACCTTTCTTCGACCTTTCTTCGACCAGGTATGCATTGGTTACTCATGTTAGTCTCAAAGAGGATTTTTAAGTCACTTTTACATTTGCTCTCTTTCATACCAGACACTAAATCTGTCGTTCTGTCGTAAATCAATCAAGATCATAGTAGTAAAGGAAGGATAGGAAAGGGAACCTGACAAATACAACATTTGATGTCGCTCAACTCCTCGATAGAGCCCGTGGCTGCTCTTCCTCCTGGTTTAGACTGATAAATGCTAGTATTAAGGCATTCTGTCAGGGCTTCTTCAGACAGTGCTGTGCTCACAGTCCCCATTCTCTCTTCTAAATCTAAAAGTTCCTATTTAAAAGCAGAATAGAGAAGAGAAATTAGTACCGATAATTCATCAAAACTGTTAAGTGATAAATGCTGCAGCTCTTAGCATAAAATAAATCAGACAGTCCACTAGGTAACTTAGAACAATAACAAGATATTGCTAAGTACTACAACTTATTTTTTGTGAGATCCCCTGATTGGAGAGGAGAATGAAACAATTTTTATAAAGGTATGGACACTTCTCCCTAATAGACACATTTTAAAACCTTGAGAAGAAACCCAGAAGGAAAAGCCCAAAGGATGACAATATCAGCTAGTGGTGGGCTTGGGCTGTTGCACTTTTACTTTCGAGAAGTGCTAACCTCATATGTCATGTTATCAATGTCGAGTCTCATGTCTCTATGCTGATCATTGATGTTTAGGCTATTGAGAAACATACTCGTCTCCAGAAGAATGGCTTGCTGCAAGACAAAAATCAAGATAACAGTCAGCAGCTCATTCTTTAATGAAATAAAAAACCAAGAGAAAACAAAAGACTACACACCTCGTAAGTGAGCTCTTCCTCCTGTTCAATTCTCTCCAACGCCAATAGTACCTGAAAATTGTATAATAACTAAGCGACAACTCTTTCCCAGGGCCATAAAATGAGTTTTAAGAAGACTATTACCTCTGCAATTCCATTGTGGCATCTAAAACTGTTCAAATTTGTCAAAGTGCTGGAAATATCGGCTTCTGTAGGGGTGGCTCGTCCAATGTCATGTATACTTTGACTATAATCCTCTGGTTCGGGGTAAATCATGCGGTGCCTGGAGTGTGATTCTGAAGATGACTGAAGTGAACTAAAAGCATTTGAGGAGCTGGAGATATTAGATTGAGGCATCCAAGAATTCATCGCTAGTGAATCCTGCGATGACAGATTATCACTATTGCTTTGATATGAATGCCTTGCCCCACTACATACACTTGTCAAACTTCGAGTCCCATATGATGAGAGAACATTTTGTCTGTGAAATACGTTTCGACCTGGTCGTTGATCAGAAATAAAGATGCCGTGCCGGGAAACACAATTCTGCCCCCGGGAAGTTCCACCCACCTTCTTTCCACGAGAATGGGAACTATTCTCACCATCATATATCATCTTCTTTGTTACATTCTTCCTTCTCACAAGGTTTCGCTCCAGCAAAGAACCATCTGATGGAATTATTTCAGATACTGAATCACAAGGGAAGTTTCTTGAACTGTACCTACTGTTACCACCATTTGATGTCTGGCAAAGACTTCTAGGTTGCATGGATGCATGAGAATCTTGATTGTCCACTTCAAATCTTTGAACAGAGTTTCTCTTAGATTCGGTGTTAGCGTCTGTACTGCAACTTCCCCTTTCCATCAACGAAGTATTAGCAGGCAATGAACTTTCAGATTTTACTTGAAGCCCTGTATGGAACAATACAGGAGGTGAGATAAACTCCAGTTCTTCCAAGTCATCTTGAATGCTATCATTTTCAGAAGAATCTGTTTCAAGCTTAGATGATAGCTTTGCAAAAGGCTCTGGAAAGGATTTCCTGAGATTTCTGATTGCAGAGGAACTCTTTGAGGAACTTCCAACAACTTCTTTACCGCTTGAGCTGCGGAATGGCCTTTTTGAGCTGGTTTTATTCGAACAGCCAACTTGTACACCACTAGTGGTGCATATCCTACCAGTGCAGCCAAGTCGGTTGCCATATCGATTACTTTGATCCCTGTTCTTCACGTTATCCCTCAAAACTACACCAGGTCCCTTCCTAGAAACAATTCCCATATGAACTCTTTTACTGGAATACTCATCCATCAGAAACTATTTGCAGTCTACAAAGCTAGAATCTGCACCAATTAAGGAACATATGAGATATCAGTGTAACAATTAAACTAAAGCAAAAAGGTAAAAGGATAAGAAAGAAAGAACAAAACAAGAAAATTTGGATAGCATAATACAGAGATAATAAAAACAGAGTGCAGTAAGACTACCAAATGTAGACAGATAAATGAGGAGCAACCCATGAAAACCACAAATTACTCCCAAAAATTTTGTGGAGAACATGAAGATTACCTCAAATCTCTTCAGCAAAAAGCTAAACAACTGATTATCTCAACTTGAAATTTTGCTAAGTTATATCCTTGAGTGCAGGAAGCGCCTTTACTTTTTCACTTAACCAGATCTGCACCCATTAAGACATTCACATATCAGAACCCTTCCGTTCAATCATGTTCATACTCTCTGACTCGATGGGAAGAAAGTAGTGATTACCTGATGTATCACTCTGTCATGCAGTTTGAAATAAGCTTTTCTTCGTCTTCCTTCTATACCCTTTTTTTCCCTTCAATCATATCGACTCGACCTAGAGCGACATTTTCATGATTGTGAGTTGAACTTTTTTGATGTTAAACAAACATAAATAAGATGCACAGGATAAAGTAGTAAGGTCCAAAACCAGGCTAAATCCATATATGATCATGATTAATTGAACCTGGGAAAACCAACATTTTAACAGGTCCAACTGTACTTCTGTCACAATCTAGAACTGCAGGCATTTGGAATTATTGAGTAAGGAAGAACAATCAGCTGACTTCACCAAAACATTGTATATAACAATACAAAATGGATATTGGATAATACTCGAAAGAAGATACCCAATCAAAAAACTACAAATCATTGGAAGAAATCCCAAATTCATTTAGAACAACTAGAAAGGGACCGCCACTTGAATATCCAAGACACAAACTATGGAAATGCCCTCAAACAGTAGTGCACAAAAGGAACCGAATGCCTGTTCTTCAAGTAATATTTCTGAAGGAAAGGCCATTAAAAGAACAGAGCAGAAGAATCTGAAGGACGTAAGTTAAAATCCATCCTCATGGATTGTGGATCTCAATGGATTTTCCCGGACCGAATTGCTCGATTCCTATCTAGAAAATGTTCCTGTTCTAAAGGCAATCGGGCTACAATGCATCTCAATCAACCGAAACGGAAGAGTGGAAAAGGTCTAATGAACAAACCAAACAAAAGGAAATTGCCATAATTGATATAGACGCCAAAAAAAAAAAAACATTCGGATCACTTATAGTTGGCTACTTCAAGAAAACAAAAAGAAAACAGAACTCATCAAAAAGACACCAAAAAACTTCATAAAAGTCGGAAAGCTTTTAGAAACTGAACCTGCTAGAATCGCAGCACCGAACTTCAAATCTACCACGTCTCCACCTTCTTCTGGAAAAATTATGGACAAAAGACCGAGTGATGAAGATCAACGTTCTGAAGACGCTTTCTTCACCTTCACTTTCGAGCAAGAATGGCGGTGAAAGAAAGAAAGGGAAGATGATCAAAGATGGAAAAGATGAGGAGATCTTGAGTGTGTTAAATATACAGATACAGAGAGATTCTTTTCTTAGAAGCTCAACTGAAGACTAAAATGGTGACGTTCAGCAGCAGCAAGAACAAAGAAATGGCGGTTTCTGCGATATCAGCCGTCGGATCGGAGTGCTCTGTACGGCCTATGATCTACGGTTGAGGATCATTCTAAAGTCTCAACCCATCATTTTTTTACGCGATTTTACTACGGTGTCAGTGGCAGGAATTATTGAAAAGAAATTAAAAGATGGGTACGAAACGAAAAATAATGTTGCCAGCTCGGGGGGCATAAGCGTCATTTTGATGCCCTCTTTAATGGGCCCTCAGCAGCCCGTTTAGTGAGCTATCGCAGTATTGGGCCCACTACCCCTTCCCTGTGGTCCAGATAATTTTTTTTTTTTTTTTTCCTTTCGTCCTCAAAATTATTAATTCTTGTACGAAAATTATAAGAATAACCATAAATTGTTCAATTTGCAATATCATTATCCAAAAAAAAGAAAATTACAAAATGAAATTGTAATTTACACCACTATCTCCTTATAATGTTGCATTATTTTTTAAAAAAAATTAATATTTAAAAATAATAATTAAAAAAAATGTAGGTAAGTACGTTTGAACCTAATTTAAAATGTATTATTCAAAACGAAATAACGCAATTTAAAACCATATAATTAATTTTCAAATTAAAATTGGAGGGCTAAAACTAAAAACCAAATAAGATGAATAAAATAAATAGAAAAGTAAAAACTATGGTCAAATATGGCCTACTTTTTTACCCAAGACATCATGCCTTGCCATCATTTTAGAGCGTGACCATTTTATAATATTCATTCTTTTTGTGGAAGGGAGATGGTCCACTTAAGCATGATTTTATTACCTAATGTATTGAGAGGGAAAGGTTCTCAATAAAGTTCTCAAAACACAATAATCTTTTACCACCATCTTTGAGGAAAATAATGTCCAATAATAAGGCCCTTCAATACCAAGCTTTAACCCTTCCATTGACCTTTAACCTAACTTACAAATTTGGTAGTTATCTTATTAATGTCTCACCGAATCTTAACTTGATAACTTTATGTACTTCGTGTAAAAGACATATATTTCAATGATGTAGTGAATAGAGAAATGGAATGACTATTTCTATAATTTTGTAGGAAAGAGTTTCGCACCCTCAGATTGGTTTATATAGACTTTATTGATCAGTAGTTAAAAGAAGGTGAAGAGACAAAGGTGGAGGGACAAGGATGAACATGAGTGGATTTCGAGGAAGTTTTGAAAAGTTTGAGAGATTTTAGAGCTATTTCCACTTTGTTATGGAAAATCAAGTGGTTCAATTTTTCCATATAATAATTACAAAAGAATCCAATTTGTATATATATATATATATATATATGTAATTTCAACCATTGTTTGGGCTTTAATCAACTTAGTGATTGACAAAGATAAAATTTTATTGAAAAATGAATATTTGTATAGATAGGGTCTTCAAAATAAGCTACGAAGTTAACCCTAGCAAGCTCCTAGGAACGAATATTGAGTTAAATCAAAATCTGAAGCTAGAATCTGATGACCATCAGAGAAACTCCAAAAATGTAACTTTCTAGAACCTTTAGATGGGATCAAAGGAAGCTGATCATCGGAAAAAGAAGATCAAGGAATAGGCAAAATGGAGATTTTGATTGAACTAATCTATTTGTAACAGCCCCAACCATTAGCAGATATTGTCCTTTTTGGGCTTTCCCTCTCGGGCTTCCCCTCAAGGTTTTTAAAACGCGTTTGCTAAGGAGAGGTTTCCACACATTTATAAGAAATGTTTCGTTCCACTCTCTAACCAATATGAGATCTTACAATCCATCCACACATTTATAAGAAATGTTTCGTTCCACTCTCCAACCAATATAGGATCTCAAAATTCATCCCTTTAAGGTCCAGCGTTCTCGCTAGAACACCGTTTGGTATCTAACTCTGTTAAGAATGAGAAATAGAAATAGAATTGGGATCGAAAGTATGATCTTCATTCAGGTTTACCACGTTTAAATAGGATACAAACTATCAACTAATACCTAAAAATAGAAAAATATATATCTAATTAAATCTGGTAAATAAATAAAATATACGGTTAATCAAATCTATACTAACAACTTTCTAAATATCTAAGATATATTCTAACCAATTCTCACGGCAAAATATCCTCTTAATACTCCCCCTCAAGTTGGAGAGTGTATGTCGATCACACCCAACTTGTCCTTCAAAAAGTCAAATTGCTGTCTTCCCAAAGCTTTAGTAAAAACATCTGCCAATTGCATTTTGGTCGAAACATAACACGGTTTGATGATTCCAGCTTGTAATTTTTCTCGAACTATATGACAATCTATTTCAATGTGTTTCGTACGTTCATGAAAAACTGGATTGGCTGCTATATGTAATGCTGCTTGATTATCACAATATAATAATGCTGGTTCGGACAGTGGAACATTCAAGTCTTGAAGAATGTATCTTAACCAAGTTAACTCTAAACAAGTATTTGCCATAGCTCGATACTCGGCTTCTGCTGATGATCTGGACACATTAGTCTGCTTTTTAGACTTCCAAGAAATAATTGAATTTCCGAGGAAAATGCAGAACCCAGAAATAGATCGTCTGGAAGTTCGACAACCACCCCAGTCAGAATCGCAATATGCCTGTAATCTTAAATTGTTTTCAGATGGCAGTAGAAGTCCTTGACCAGGAGTGCCTTTAATGTACCTCAGAACTCGAAGAGCTGCCTCCCAATGTGGTTTTCTTGGTTCATGCATAAATTGGCTAAGCATACGAACTGAATAAGCTATGTCAGGCCTAGTGACGGTCAAATATATTAATCTGCCAATCAACCGTCTGTATTTACTTGAATCATTCAACTTCTCTCCTTCGGTTAAAGAAAGTTTCAGATTTTGCTCCATAGGAAATTTGTCTGGACGTGCTCCTGTAAGACCTGTGTCTTGAAGGATGTCTAGAGCATACTTCCTTTGAGACATAAAAATTCCTTTTCTAGATCGAGAAAATTCAATGCCTAGAAAATATTTCAAATTTCCTAAATCTTTGATAAGAAATTTCTGGAGTAAACTAGTCTTGAGATATTGAATTTCTTCAAGATCATTGCCTGTCAACAGAATATCATCAACATAGATTAGAACTGCAGTGAAAGAAGTACCTTTACTCTTAGTAAACAAAGAGTAATCTGCTTTGGACTGAGTGTAGCCTGCATTTTGTATAGTTGTAGAAAATATGGAGAACCAATTGCGAGAAGCCTGTTTTAATCCATAAAGAGATTTATGGAGCCGACATACTGTATTCTCCCCCTGTCGGCGAAGACCTGGTGGTAAAGACATATAAACTTCCTCGTCTAGATTACCATGGAGAAAGGCATTTTGAACATCCAACTGATGGGTGAACCATTTTCGAGCAGCAGCAACAGTGAGTAAGCAACGAAGTGTAGTAAGTTTCGCTGTAGGGGAAAATGTTTCTGTGTAATCAATACCTTCAACCTGAGTGTACCCCTTTGCTACTAGTCGAGCTTTATAACGTTCAACAGAACCATCAGAGTTGTATTTAATTTTGTACACCCAACGACAACCAATAGCTTTATGACCAAGTGGTAGAGGAACGAGAGACCATGTATGATTACGTTCCAAAGCTGCAATTTCATCATTCATAGCTTGCTGCCATAACGGGTCGCCAACTGCCTCGTCATAGGTTTTAGGTTCTGTCTGGGATGTAATAAGAGCTAGAAAAGCACGTTGAGTAGGAGAAAAACGAGAGAATGAAAGGTAATGATGAAGGGGATACCTGGTGCCAGTGCCGGGACTTGAGCTAGAGGTTAAATGATTGGCTCCAGAAGACATCTCATAATCCTTATGCCAAGCTGGAGGCTGTTTAGTACGAGTAGAACGTCGAAGTGGAGCTGATGTATCAGGTGGGATAGGATTGGAATTAGTGGGCGAATCTGGAGAAGGTGGAGGAGACGACGGAGTAGTAGGTGAAGGGATAGGAGGTGAAGGAGGAGTAGGAGGTGAAGGAGGAGTAGGAGGTGAAGGTGGAGGATGGATGTTTGAGTAGGATGGATCATGAAGTGGTACAACAGGAGTCAAAGGAGCTAATGTCGAAGTTTGTGAAGCTGATGAAAAAGGAAAATCATCTTCACAAAATTTGACATCACGGCTGATAAAGAATGTGTGAGATTGCATGTCATACAACTTGTAACCTTTATGACCACAAGGATATCCTACGAAAACACAAGGAGTTGCCCTAGGTTCAAATTTTTGCTTAGGATGTACTATAGTTGCATAACATTTACAACCAAAAACTTTAAGATGATGAAATGTAGGTGGTCGTTTGTAGAGTGCTTCAAAGGGTGTCTTGTTAGATAATAATGGTGATGGCGTTCTATTTATAAGATAAACAGCCGTTAAAATGCACTCTCCCCAAAAATTAAGTGGAACCTGTGACTGAAAAAGAAGAGACCTAGCTACATTTAGGATATGGCGATGCTTGCGTTCTACGACTCCATTTTGTTGTGGAGTATAGACACAAGTGCGCTGAAATTCAATACCACAAGAAGTAAAGAATGGTTGCAAAGATAGGAACTCAGTCCCATTGTCTGATCGAACTATCTTGATAGTAGTATGAAATTGAGTTTGAACGAATTTAACAAAGTTCATCAACAAATGATGTACTTCTGACTTATGTTGCATTAAAAAAACCCAAGTACATCGAGTAAAATCATCAACAATAGTGAGAAAAAAACGCAAACCGGAATGGGTAGGAATTTTATGTGGTCCCCAAACATCACAATGTATCAGATCAAAAGCAGAATGGGTTGTTATTGAACTTCTTGGGAAAGACAACCTAGTTTGTTTTGCTAACGGGCAGATACTGCAATTATGAGAATAACTCGCATTATTAAGATGCAATTGATCAGCTAGAAATTTAAAACGAGAAAAGGAAGGATGACCTAGGCGTAAATGCCACAAATCAGATGACTGAGATACTTGATGAGCTGAAGACTTGATTGGAGATGAAGAAATATGATAGAGACCTCCAAATTGTTTACCCGAGCCAATCATCTTCCCCGTAGCCAAGTCCTGCATAACACAAGAATCAGGATAGAAGGTGACATAACATTTCAAGTTATTGGTAAGTTTGCTGATCGACATTAGGTTTAAATTGAACGAAGGCACACATAAAACGTTGTTTAATTTAAGGTTAGGGCTAAGGGAAATATTGCCAGTATGTGACACACGTGCTGTCTCTCCATTAGGCAAATTTATTGTAGACATGATGGCAGCCTTTGGTTCAGTCATAACAGAAGATTTTGATACTATATGATCCGTAGCTCCACTATCGAGAATCCATGAATTAGAACTCGCAGAGTTAATAGATAATGTAGATATGGGAAACAAACCTGCAACATTGATGTGATTGTCAGAATTACCAGAAGGGTGATGATTGATTGCAGATAAGGCTTGTGCTATCTGTCGTAATTGCTCAGAAGAAAAATTTGGAATGGAATTAGGTGACTGTTCTTCTGTATTCAACTGTGAAACATCGGCCATATTTGCAGATGATCGATATCCACGGTTATTGTGTTGATTGTCTTGTCTTGTCCTTCCAGAATTATTTTTCTGTCGACACCGATCTTCTGTATGGCCCCTTCTATCACAAAACTTACAGTGAAACTTAAGAATTCGACACTCATTAATTGTATGACCACTTTTATTGCAGTGTTCACACAATTTGTCCTTGGCGAATTTTGAATATATTGTTTTCTTTTGCACTACTGATGCAATCAAGATTTTCTCAGTAGGTTCGGAAGTTACCTGACGCTGCATCTCTTCTTGTACAAGTAATGAATAGGTTTGCCTCACATTAGGTAATGGAGACATCATCAATATGTTAGATCTCACCGTTTTATAAGACTGATTGAGCCCCATGAGCAATTGCATCAACTTGTCTTCTTCGCGTTGATCAATATGTATTTGACGTTGATTACAGGTAAATGGTGTGCGGTACGCTTCCAGTTCATCCCAGAGTGCTTTGAGCTTGATGAAATATGTTGACAGTGCCATGGTTCCTTGTGACATCGTTGCTATCGAGTTTTGTATTTGAAAAATTGCTGGAGCATTCTTTTGTGAGAATTGATCGTGAAGATCAACCCACACTTGATGAGCTGTCTTGGCGTGAATAATGCCTTTAGCGATATCTGCTTCAACGGAATGAGTTAACCAAGATATTATCATACTGTTGCACTGATTCCAGAGTTCGAATTCGGTTGAATTTGCATCTTGGGACGGTTCCTCAATTGTGCCATCAATGAAGCCAATTTTCTTCTTGGCAATAAGAGCATGCATAACTGATTTCCTCCAGGATTGATAATTTGCTCCATTTAATTTGATTGGAACAAGTGAATATCCTGGCTGATCAGAGTGATGAATATAGTACGGATGTGTTAAATCAACATCCGAAATTTTGAAGCTAGATTTGGCTGATTCCGCCATAAAGGAAATTTTGATATTTAAGAACACCAAGATCGGTGCTCTGATACCATGTTAAGAATGAGAAATAGAAATAGAATTGGGATCGAAAGTATGATCTTCATTCAGGTTTACCACGTTTAAATAGGATACAAACTATCAACTAATACCTAAAAATAGAAAAATATATATCTAATTAAATCTGGTAAATAAATAAAATATACGGTTAATCAAATCTATACTAACAACTTTCTAAATATCTAAGATATATTCTAACCAATTCTCACGGCAAAATATCCTCTTAATAAACTCTAATACCATTTGTGACCCGAGGACGAGGATGAAAGAAATTGGCAAATTGGAGATTTTAATTGAGCTAAGGATTAGTAAGGACAGTACCTGGATGAATGTAATGTGGCTTTGCCCCCACTCATAAATAATGACCATCACCATGTGGGCCTCCCCTCTCCAAGCATCTGTATCTTCCTCACTGAGTTTCCAGAAGTCATTTCCTCGTCGATTGGATCAAACTGCGACACTATACATCCATCTTCTAGCTTTTTGTGTTGTCATCTCAGCTTATTTCAGGCCTTGAAATCCTGTTCAAATTTAGCTTCATCCTTCAGTAAGAACATTAACAAATATCTGACCAAGTTTATCATGCAACATGTTGATTGTTGCCTTCAAAACAAGCTCCATTTCTATCATCAAATACTCAAAAGTCGCTTCACTAGGATATTTGGGTAGAATTTGGCATCATGCTACTAACAGTTAGAATAAACTAATTAGCTTGACATGTTAACCCAATTGGAACATTTTAAAGGTACGAAAACAAATAGACAAAATGCTCAAAAGTTCATGTAAACTATACCCCACACCAACCAAAAACCAAGAAGAGCTATGCATAAAGACATTTGCTCTATCCTGTACAGTTCAACTAAAGACATTTGTCTATTTGCATAAACTAATTATCTATCTGTACAATTCAATCCCTATCCTGCCGCTTACTAGTTATGTATAAACATGACGTACCGTCTATACAGCCACAGTTGAGCAAAGCATCAATCATTTCAGTGTATGCTGTTCAATCAATCAAGAAATCATGACAAGACTTCATTTCCAATACAATCTTGTGAACTACATGGACATCTTTCAGAATCCCAAAACCCTAAAGAAAAAATGTATTACAATTGATGAATGGAAGGGTTATGTCTGAAAAGTGAATCAAGGTGCACAAACTTGTAGCTCTAGGTACCCACAGGAGCATGAGCCACTCAAGGAAACTTCAGAACATGCATGAATTATTGTGGGTCAGACCAGAATGAGCAGTGGGGAGTAAATATCCTCCTATGGCTATGAGAACGTAATTAATTTGGAAGCTTATATGCATCCATTGTAGCTAAAGAAGAAATATACAGTGTCAGACTGGTAAAACAACAAAGGTATATGCATCGCTCTTGATGGATATAAACAGTATCAAATAGGTAGTAACTTGTTTAATGTTAGACGAACACGACTCTCCACAATGGTATGATATTATCCACTTTGAGTATAAGCTCTCATGGCTTTGCTTTGGATTTTCCCAAAAGGCTTTACACCAATAAAGAGAGCATTCTTTGTTTATAAACTCATGATCATTCCCTAAATTAACCAACGTGGAACTTTTATCATCCAACATTTGAGATTATATTTTCCTCTACAAAGACCATAAAGAAGCCCGAAACTTCTCTCCGTTGAAGAGATTGCACATCAATACTACCATTCATAGAAAAGCTTCCAAATCTATCGAGCCAAATAAACACTAACTAGAAACTAAAATACACACCCATAATCTCTTTAATACCACTATCAACTGAAAATAAGTCTAATACACTATCAACCAAATTTAACTGCAACGCTTAATTGTTCCAATTGAAATGTGGCTGCCATAAAGCATTTGAACTTACAGGACTGGAGACATTATTATGAGCTTTGTAGTGCAGATTGTTAGACGAATAGGACTCTCCACAATGGTATGATATTATCCACTTTGAGCATAGGCTTTCATGGCTTTGCTTTGGCCTCATACCAATAGAGAGAGTATTCTTTATTTAGAAATCCATGATCATTCTCTGAATTAGCCGATGTATTGTCCACTTTGAGCATAGGCTTTCATGGCTTTGCTTTGGCCTCATACCAATAGAGAGAGTATTCTTTATTTAGAAATCCATGATCATTCTCTGAATTAGCCGATGTGAGACTTTTATCATCCAACATAGATAAAGTACAGTAACCGCTGAGTAAGCAGCTTAAGAAATGATTTCTTGTAGAAACTGGCCTGGTTCAGTCAAAGCATTTAGAAGACCATAATAAGTGGTGCCGACAGTGCTAGACCTCCAATAGCAGTACCTTCTTCCACAGATTCAAATAATCAAAATGCTTAGTCAACTTTTCTAGCTTCTCCCTAGCCCTGGCAGAGAAAAGACTGAGACTTAACTGGAACAAGAACTAATCACGACTCTCCCATACAACTGTCACAATGACGGATTTCCCACATGACTCAACGACAATGCATCAAGGAATCTAAAACTTAGAATGCTTTAATTTATTACCTTCAATAGCGTGCCATAACTGACATTGTCTACTCCACAATTATTTGGTTTGGACATTTCAGTGGAATTCTTCGGAGCTAAATCAATATCACCGCAGTGAGCACAGGCTTCCTGGACAGCATTCATAAAAATTGTATTCAACTTTCCATAAAGTCTCTTCGCAATTTCAATCATCTCAAATAACTGAGAAATTAAAGAACAATACGAAACTCAAACCCAAAAACTGATGCAATTTCCGAGAAGGATATACTTCAATAGAAATCGTCACTCATAGTTTCTGACGTCGAAATATTTTTCCACACAAATCCGTTACACGAAACCATATAATTTTATTTAATAAGAACGCATACGCTACCAACACTGAGAATGAAGAGGAGAAAGAAAACTAACAGATTCCCCTTAGTCCAGACGCGGCATGATATTAAAACTTCGCATACAACCGCAAGCAATAACATGAGCAAAAAAACGAAGTCCTTAGTGTTTTTCCTCACACTCCAAAAACGAGCAGTCGAGTTGAGTAAAAATTAGAGTAAATATACAGCATAAACAAGTAAAACCTTGTGGAGCTCCTTCCGGCGAATGAGTAGGACCACAAGAGACGTCAGCCGCTTGAGATTAGAACTCCGAGGAGAGTCTTCCCGGCCGGGCAGTTGCCGTGCATTAAGGAGTCGGACAAGAAGATACGTTCGTGGAATCGGATAAGCATAAAGCCAATGGAGGATAGAATAACGAGGCGACCCGTAGCATCTTCTCCGACGGTGGTTATGAGTGCCGATGAGACAGAGAAGCTAACCATCGGCCATGGGAGCGAAAGAGAGAAAGAAGAAGAGGACGACACTTCGTAAAATTGGCGGTAAATGTCCGGTATCATTAGGCTGGGCCCGTGGGCCCAATTATCTAGGATGAGGCCTGGCCCAGTTTACTTTAGTTATGTGGGTACTACAAGGCCCAGCCCAATAGGAACAAATATTTTTTTAAAAAAAATATATTTCAAACCACCGTAAATTTACTGATTTGCCCTTATGTGAACATTTTATATTAAAACAATAAAATAAACGTAGAAAGGTGAGTTTTTTTTTGCCCACAAGCCCAATGTACTAATTTGCCCATAACATATATTTAAAATTGATTATGGCAAGGCACGTGAATACGCATGACATATTTAAACAATTATTTTATATTTTTTAATTTGACTAATAATTTAAATGCTAAAATTTACTGGACAGAAATGAGATAAAACAAACACAATTTAAAAATATATTTTAAAATTAGATAATTAAACAATAAAAATATAGAAATAATTTTCCAAATACATTTTTTAATTCTAAATATTTGGATATTTTTTCATTTCATGCACACTTTGAATTTTGGAAATATATATATATATATATATACACACACAATATATATTATTAATTTATCTACATGGACTCATGAAACATAAAAAGAAAAAAGAAAAATAGAAAAATATATATATATTTTTTTTCCTTTTCTTTTTGTTCAGAGCAATAAGTGAAGAAAGGCCAAACGATTTCATTACACTACGCGTTATTGCTGTTCATATTCTTGCAGATCAAAACAGCTCATTGATTTGAAGCCATTAACGAGCTTCCGATCGTGGTACCTTTGCCCTAGGGTTTGTCTTCTTCGTTCGTTTTGATCATCATCTTCATCGCTCTCTCGATTTCTTTCCTCTGAATCGGAACCCTCCGCCGGTTGTTGTTGTTCTTCGTCTTCGTTTAGGGCAAGCAGAGGCATCGATTTAGGGTTTCGCCAACTGTAGAATGAGGCTTTTCTCGACCATTTTGACGCCATTAAAATTCTTCTCCTCTTGTTGAAAGGATTATCCGGCTTCTCTAAATCTTTCACTTGAATCACCTCTGATAAATTCGCAAACGACTTCGATTTCCCCGAGAAATGCCTCGATAAGCCACCTCTACAATTCCAATCCCCCCGAGGAATTTCATCACATTAAAGAGTATTAAATCTCTAATTCGTGTGATTAATCGGAAATTTTAGAGTTCAATCGCCGTTTTCGGCTTCAATTTTCGATTTCTAGGTTATAGGAGAGTGAAAATTGAAGAGATAGAGATAGAGAAACTCACTTGATTACAAGAGCGTCTTCGAGAGAATCCAATCCGAGCAATCCTCCTTCCTTTGGCTTGCTCTGCACCTCATCGTCGTCGGAATCATCGTCGGGAACTCCAATCGACGACGACTCCGACGAGTTTTCCCCAATCGAACTACCAGATCCGGACTCGCGAAAACCCGACCCGTCCCGATTATGAGTCTCCGCGACGGCGGAGGAGTTCTCCAACGGGACTTCGATGCTGAACGTCGGAGAACCGAGCAAAACCTCCATCACTCACAGGCGGGAGATCAAGTCCGTCGCAGTAGAGATTTCTGAACCTTCCTCCGCTCTGCTTCTCCTCGCCGGCAACGCCCAAGGGTTAGGGTTCGTTGTCATCAACCGGCGGCAGATTGGTACCGACTTTTCTGATAGGGAGAGAGAAGATAGGAAGACAGAGAGGGAGAAGGGGATAAGGGGGGGACTATCACTCTGTGAACTGTTTTTGTTTTAAGTAAATCAAAAATAAAAAAAATATATAAAACTAGAAAAAAAAATAGCTAAAAAACTGTTCCACTTGAAATTATTATTACTATTTTTTAATATCCAAACATGGTTATAATTATTAAAATTTCTTTTTATTACATATTTGAAGTATTTTTGGTTAATCACTTTAAAATGATTTTTTTTATAATTACTTCTCAAATATTTATTAATTTATTTTTTGAACCACTTTTTATTTATTATTTTAAAAAAACTATTTTTAATCATCCAAAATTACATGATATAAAAAATATTTAAATACTAAATTGTAATTAAACTTTAAAAAAAATCATAAATGGATAGGAAGAAGCAAACATTTTGTACCCACAAATATAACAAATTAATGCAACCTTAAAAAAAGGAAGCGGAGTGTTTGGGAGACGAGATAGTGGAGCCCGATTGCAGATTATTAGGGATTATATATCTACGTGGAATTATGATATTTGCATTTTAAGTCTTTTTTTTTTTTTTTCTTGTGAATTTAAAATATTATTATAAGAAATTATGAATGGGAGTATAAACTTTAATGGTGGTATATACCAAAAATAGACTAATAAATGATTATTTAAAATGATAACAAATATAGCTCGTGTATAATAAATAGGTGTGAATAGTCAAATATATGTATATATTTATATATATATATATTGGAAATTGAACTCTAACAACTTTCTTTCATATAATTTACCTACTTTATTAGGGTTTTATGAATCATAATGCATTTTTATTTTTTATTTTCAAAATATATTCATTAAAAAAAGTTTTTTTTTTATTTTATGCCTATAAATTATATAATTTAAGATTACTCCATGAAAAAAAAAGACGGAGTTACTTGTATTTTGTCAATGTAGTTAATAACTATCAATTTTTTACACGCTTATTAACCTCCATATTCTTGAGATCATTTTATTTGCACATGGTATTAATTTATTTATATTTTATCTTATGTACTCGAGCGCTATCGAGAGATTTGAATTTAAAAATATGTATTTTATGTTGGTGTTAATATTTGAAATTTTGAAAAACAATCTTAAAATGTATTTCATACAACTTTCAATCACAAGTAATTGTTTCGTTTTCTTACTTTTCTTATAAAAGTTTTTTCACAATTTTTTTCTCGAGCGGATTGCATCGTTTCTATTTTGATTTTGTTAAGAATGAGAAATAGAAATAGAATTGAGATCGAAAGTATGATATTCGTTAATGTTTACAACGTTCAAATAGAAAACAAACTATCAACTAATATCTAAAAATGAGGGAAAATATATATCTAACTAAATATTGTAAATAAGATAAACTCAAAACTCCCATAAATTCCAAAAAAATAAAAGAAAAAAAATATATAAGATATACTCCATAACTAATTATTAAATATATTCTCCAAATATTATATTTTAATAGACTTATTTATAGAAATAATAAAAAATAAACAAAATATGGTGTGTACATAGATGACAAATCACTTGTTTATTTGGATGATAACTCAACCAGTAAAATTCAAATTCAAATTTTGAGCTCATTCTACATTCTCTCTCTTTTCAACCTCAGACCATAGATATTTTTGTAATGCAACTAAATAAACGTGTCATTAAAAACAAAGATTCATCGGTCGGTCGATGGATTGGGTGAGGGGTTACCTAACTTTGAGGTGTAAAGCATGGATTGGTATAAGAGTAGAGTGGATAATAATCTATCATATAAAGCTCTGTTCATATGAATAGACTATAAGAATGATAAAAAGCATCAAAGATTCCACAAACAATCATGATTTTGGCCATTATTGGATAATATATATAATATTTAGATTAAGTCCATAAATATGATAGAAGCACGAGATGATAGTATTGAACCATTGGTTTTTGTTTTTCTTTTCATATTTTTTTTTATAAAAAAATTAGGTAAAATATGTCCAAACCTTATATGAATTTAAATGTATATGAAATTCTAATTTTCAAAATTGTGAGGACTAAATGATAATTTTGTTGAAATAAAAGGACCAAATCTGAAACATTTTTTTTTCCCAAGTGAGAGATTGGATTTGTTGATTTGGGTGGTGCTGGGTCTCGTTTTGTACAATCAAATCGCCGTGGAAGATGGGTCATGGTCCAATTAGGTCAAAAGACCATTTTGCCCTTTTATTTGACTTTTTTGAAATTATTATATTTTTTTTTATTCCAAAACTGTCTGAAATAAATAAATAAATAAACATCAATATCCCATCAAGTTGATTAATTTGTAAGGCCCTTTGAATATATGCTTAAAAAAAGTCAATTTTCGTAATAAGTGAAATAAAGTATTCAATAAAGTAAGACTTTCAGTTCTCAAAAAAATAAATGGATATTATTTAAATCTAACTTTATAATTAATTCTCCAAAAAAAATAATAATAAAAGAATTTCGGGCCCCACACACCAATTTTTAAATTGATTGATTGACAACCTCTCACCTGTCACTGACCACCATTCCCCCATCTTTTGACTTTTCATAGACTTTTACGAATCAACCCCCCGATCTCTTCAAATTTGCATTTTCGCCCCAACTTTTGTTTATATTTGCAAACGCACCAATTAAAAAAGAAGATCACGACAGTAATTAATTAAATCAAATTAATTCTACTCCGGCAGCCACGCGCTGGGCAGATAGAATAGAGATTCTTTCTGCCATTTAACAATTTTTTTTTTTTTTCGTAATGTACAATCATCATGAAGAGAAAAAATGAAGTCAAAATTCAAAATTTCTCTTCTTTTTTCCATTTATTTTCTTCTAGCTTGAACTTCAACTTGACTCAAAAACTAAAGCTACTCCGGTGGCCATATTTTCCGGCAAGGAGCTCTGTGTATGGCGGTGCTCTCCTTCGTACGTTACAATCAACATCGCTGGATCATTTGGATCTCTCTCCACGTGTTTCCTCGCTGGACATCCTCTCATCGAGCTACACTTGTAATATCCACTGAAAATATAACAAATTATCGAGTTAAAATCGGTAAAATTATAATAAATCGCCACCGTACACGGCGGGAGTTGCTGTTCTTAACTCACCGTGGGTATGGAGATCCCTTGATCGGCTTCTGACCGTATTTTCTCCATGAGTACTCGTCCGGTGGAATATCGGCGATTTTGGAACTAATCGCCGGGACTCGGATCGTCTTCTTCATACGGTTTTTCCTGTAGAAAACGACGTCGG